CACCCGGGAAGCGGGGGGAGGCCGTGCCTCGGACGCCGAGCCCCGGGCAGCAGGTGTCCGCAGCGGGAAAAGAGCCGGGGGCCGAAGGCATCCTCGAAGGAGAGAGGCGAGCCAGAGCATGGGCTCCAGCTTTATCCCCATTTCTTCTTCCCTAAGCCTCACCTAGCGACTTCAGCAGGGCCTCTCTTGGCTCCCGAGCATTTGCCTTTCTGGAGCTGCGGAATTAAGTATAGGATTAGGGTCAAAAGAAGAAGCGCAGAATCTCCAGGGTTGTCATGAATGTGCTCGAGGAGCCTTGTGGGGCAGGATGTTCTAAAGGGGATACGGGACATTTTCAGAGTATGGCGCAAGGAGTATGGCCCTTCCTGCCCTCAGAGCGGGAGGCTATTCTAGAAAATAAATGGGAAACAGACAAGCATGCATTAAGTAAATATTCCCAAAGAGAACCTAAGAGAACTACTGTGTGCCGGTGCAGCCTCTGCGTTATCTCATTTGATCCACAGAGCAGCCCTATGGGTATCCATCCCGTTCACGATGAGGAAACCGAGACTCAGAGAGGTGAAGAAATGTGCCCTGGGTTCCACAGTCAGTCAATGGCAGGTCTGTCAGGTTCTGAAGCCGGCCTCCCACGTGAGGAGATAGACGTTTAAATATACATAAAGACAGGCAATCAACATCCAAAACATAGAAAGGTAGTGGATTCGCCCTGAAATGGAGGATCTGTGAAATGCATTTTCTGGGGATTCTAATGCAAATGTAGTTATTAAGGTCTGAGTCCTACCAGACTTTGAGGGAGAGGGGGGTAAAAGAAGATCCTTGGGGATCTAAGATAGGGACCGGATATTCCGGAGTGACAGAAAAGCGAGTCTTCATCCCACTATTGTTGGGGAAAGGCAGACAGAAAAGCGAGTCCTCATCCCACTATTGTTGGGGAAAGTCTCCAGGACCTGAGGCAACAAGCCTGGGGGTAGGAGTCCGAGCCAGATGAGCCAGGAGGGGAGGCAGGACAACACGCAGCACACACCCCGAAAGCACCAGTGATGAAACCACACACGTTTCCTCTTCCATTTTGATTGCCAAAGCAAAAATGAGCCACCCTGCTCCCTCAGGTGTGAAAAAAGGCTGTTTGCTTTAGAACATTTTGCTTTGAATGAGGAAGGAAAGGGGACACAAGAAAGAAAGAAAAAAAAAACATTTCCTTTGAAATAAATACATCAACGTCAATTTTTTTTTTTTTTTGCTCATGAAGATTTTTACCACTCATAAATTTCAGGCAGCATAGCATTTTGAAGAGCATGTTCTCTGAACAGATGGCCGGGATATGAATCCCACCTCTGCCACTTACTAGTTTTGGTCCCTGGGCAAGTGACTTAACCTTTCTGTGCCTCAGTTTCTACATCTACATCATGAAGAGTAAGTGAGTTAATGTTTGTAGTGTTTAGATTACTGTCAAAAATGAAGTAGGTGCTATGTAAATGTTTTTTAATTTAAAAATTAGATTATGGTTTTCAGCATGAAAAACAAAATTCCACTCAACTCCAAGCAAATCCTATTGGAACTAATGGTTTCCAGTGGGAGTAGTGATGTCAAGGTCTCAGATTTCATGGTATGGTTCATATTAAAACCATAATACTCTACTCCCTGTTGGGCCTGCCTGAGTCACTCAATCACAGAGCCACAAATATTTCCTGAGCACTACCGTATTGGATGCCTGGGAGGCAAAGAGGAGCTGAAGGGTTTGGGTCTCGTTAACGGTTCGGAAAGTCGAGGCAGCCTTATATTCCTTCTGGAAGTGCCATGAGACTGAATGGCACAGAGAGTGAGTACTGTCAGCCTTTAGAGGAGCAATATGTCTCTGTGTGGGGTAGAGGTGGATTCTCAAGAGGGAGGTGGGCTTTGAGATGGGCCTGAGAAGATGGGTACAATTTGATGCCAGTCGTGGAGGGCAAGAACATGTTGGGCTAGGGGGAGGGTCATCGGTGTACTTTAGGCAATTCTCATACTTCACTAGAAGCCCCATTTTCTGCCACATTTGCTCCTGGCCAGGATCTGGCCCCAGTTAAACTGCAATTTCTGCCCTGATTCCACTTCCTTACCCCTGGATTTCCGGGTGCTTCCTTAGAGGACCTCCTGCTACCTTCTCCTGTAGTGGGCACCACAGAGTAGGTGTCAATTGATGCTGCGCCCTGCTGTAGAGTCCTTTTGCCGACTCATGACTGACACATTTTAAAAGTATTCCATTGCCTGATTTTATGCATTAGAGTTTTTTTTAGTACAATAAACAGCCTTGATGTCTGAAAATATGACT